AGCTTCGCTCCGTGAAATGCAAACGATTACAGCCTTTGCAGAAATAACTGCTCAGGGAAGCCAGAGGGGAAAGGGGGAAGATGGAGCAGCGCCTGCGACAGCCGCCTTTGATGTAGCTGGGGATGTCAGTGCCAGACAGATTCCAGCGCAGAGGAATAGCCCCTCTTCATCCAACATTATTTCATTTCATCCATGGTCTTTAAAAAGCACCCCCCCTCTCCTCCCAAGGCCCCCCCCAGTGCTGACATGTTATGAGATCCCTGTTATCCTGCCCGCTCCGTGGGTTGTGCCGGGCGCCGGAGCAGCAGCATGGCCAGGACCTGCCCAAGAGGGGTGACCGCTGCGGTGACCGCAGGCTGGTGCATTTTCTCAGCACCCAAAAGTGCTGGTTGAACTGGTGAAGGGCTCCAAGAGCAGTGTGATGGGGCAGGGCAGGGCCCCCCTGCACCAGGCTTAGCCCAAGCAGCCATCACCCCTGCCCGGGCTTGCCTGCACCCTCCTGCCCGCACTCTGCAGCCCAGGCAGGAGCAGCCCAGGAGCTTTTCCAGCACTTGTCCTTAGCTCATTTGGGCAAGGCAGAGAGGGCTGGTCCCCTCCTCTCAGCAGCAGTGGATGGGGGGCTTGGGGGGGGGGGGAATCAGCCCCTCTCCCAGCACAGTGGGCACAGGGCTGGGTGGCACAGAGCACCCACAGCGCCACGCTCAGCGACCAGCACAAAGGGGACACGGGTGTCGTGTCAGCCAGTTCCCAGCCCTAATTTGTCATTTGTGGCCACGTGCCCTCCCGTGCTCACGCCTCAGGAGGCTCGGAAAGGCTGCCAGTGACAAAGCTGGAAATGACATCTTTGGACAAAAGTGGGGGCAGGGGGGAGAAGGTCGGCTCTGGACGTGCAGACTGGGCTGCGGCGGGAGCTGCGTCCTGCACGGGCGCCGCTTCTCCACCGCTGCAGGGGGGGTCAGGAGGGATGGAGAGGCAAGGGGAGCAGATGCCATCTGCAATTTCCCCACATAAGCAAATCGCAGCCCTGCGCAAGCAGAAGCCGGCTTCACCTTGAACGCCAGAGCAAAGCGAGTGTGAGGCTGACGGCACAGCAAAGCCCTGAGGGCTGCGACTGTCTGCTGGAGCCCTGGACACCGACGGAGGTCAGGAACGATGTAGAAGTACAGGGAGCATACTTGCACGCTCCAAGATTCTTTGGCTCAGTAGGAAACGTATCCTGGACAGCCTCCCATCGAGCCACAACCAGGTCCAGGGGGAGAATCTGGAAGCTGCAAGCTGGAATTTATGAGCCCTGTTCCCATTAAAATAGCGGGCGATATTTCCATCTGTCAGTAAGCGATGATAAACAGACCAGCTCCTTTGCATATCCTAGACCTTGCTCAAACAAACCCAGGGCAGGATTTGGCATACAGATGACCATTGCCACACTGGTAATTTATGGCTCCAGCCCTGCCCAGTCTCCAGCAGGAGGAGGAATTTATAGGGGCTGACCCCCAGGGTCTGCCAAAGCCAGGGCCCTGGCACTGACTGCAACACCCGCTGCTCACCCTCTTGGTTTGCTGGGGACAAGCATCCACCCAACCCAGCTGCGAGCTACATCCCATCACCACTCCCC